GATGTGGCATTCCAGATAACCCCAAAACTATGGCAGGAATTTTACTTAGATATTCATCAGACCCTTGACATTAATTTCTCTGACGGTTACAGAGAAGGATCTACACAGTTCTCTAAAGCAGTGAGGTCTGGGCTTCATACCCAGGCACAGAAGTACAGAAGATGCCCCAGAAGAGTTTCCCACATTACCACCCTGGGCAAGTGGTGCCATAACCCCTGCAGATGATGAAGCAGATTAACCAAGGATGTCTTTCCTTTCACAAACATTGATTTTGTCTGATTTTTATCTTCCTCCTCCAGAAAGAAAATTGACTGTACAGTGAGGACAGCAGTAGTTAAGACTAAGAGGTCAACTACTCTCTAGGGGAACCCCCAGAGTATCCCTTTATCCCTTGTGTTTCTTCACATGCAGTATTCAGCAGTTGTACCAGATAATTCCAAAATACTACAGAATGGAGTAGTATTCTGGTTGGAAGGGACCACAGTGGATCATGTGGTCCAACCTCCCTGCTCAAGCAGGGTCATCCTAGAGCACATTGCACAGAATTGTCTGCTGACAGTTCTTGAGTATCTCCAATGAGGGAGATTCCACGGTCTCTCTGGGTAATCTGTTACAGATTAAATTAAACTATTTCAGTTGACAAATTTCTTTTCTTGTCCCCATCTATTTCCCCCATTTACTTCCCTGACAGAGCTCAGAGCAAGACTTCCTCTCTTCCTACCATAGCACCTCCTTATGCTGTGGCTCTGTTTACCACAGTTCCTGGGGACTACCTGTGCTGCTCACCATCAGGTGACCTGTACAGCATTTGCTAGCATCAGCTTCAGACAAGTCAAGCCACATCAAATTTTCAATGGTTCTTTGGCAGTATCATGACATCAATGAAGCCACACACCCCTCCATGGTCCTGTCAGATGTCCTGGACTCTGTTGCTTCCCCAGGAATGTTAAATCCAGGAGGTATGTGTGCCTTTCCATAACTCACCCAGGCAGCAAGAGATACCCGCTCACAACTGACTGTGCAGTCAAAGGCACAGTCATTTCCATCATTTTTGCTGCTTCTTGGGCCAGAAAACATACTACTTGCTTTCACAACTGCAGCTGAAGTGAGAGCTCATGAAATGGAGCCACTAACAGCAGTAGCTTGAGAGACAGGGCTGTGCAAGCACCCCAATGCTGCCCTTCTAGAGCATCAGGCTCTACCTTACAGCAAACCTCATAAAATCCTGGGGCTTCTTTGGGGCCAGGGCACTGACAGCACCCTGAAGTGCCTGCTTGACAAATACAAATGGGATGGTAGACTCAGCTGAGACATAATTTTTCATGCTAAGCCTAAGCCTGGGCTAGTGCTGCTCCTCAAAGATGAAACAGGCATGTCTGGGACTGCCGACAATGGACTTTTCCCTGCGTGTGAATGTTTAGAAAATGTACTGCAATTGCTCCCTAAATCTTGGGAAAGTACACTGGGATGGGTACAGAGCAAGCACACAGGCCTGAGGGCTAACACCAGTGTTGCACATAGGAGAGTAGCTGGGAGAAATTCTGGTCAAAGGATGGGGACCACTCACTCATGTGGAGGGAACAAGGCTTCGATAGGTGTGTGAAATCCCTCCTTATCCTGCTTTAACTGAAATGTAGATGGGCTTTAGTTCTAGTTTACCTACTTAGAAGTTATAGATCCCCAGCTCCTTGCTGGGAGAAACGACAATTTTCCAGATACATCTTCTTTATCCCTTTCAAAAAACAACAACCAAAAAATCTCCTTTTCAAACACCTTATAGCTATCCACTAACCAACAGAGAGTTAAAACACCCCTTCAGCATGACAGGGAAGAGCTGAACATCCTCTCTTCAGTGATTTGAGCAGGAAGCATAACAGAAGGCTCAATTATTGCTTTAAAAATGACAGGAAACTTTCATTTTCATATCCCATTCATGGATAATGAAAATGTACTGAAGAGAAGGAAAATCTGACTGTATTAATGAGAGGACACCCTTGAAAATCAGAAACAATGGGAAGGAATGGGCAGAGAGACAGAAATAATTACCATAGCAGCAGTGTTTGCTGCACTGTTATTAAGGTTTGTCAGAGTTTCAGCGACTTTTTTAAGTACCTTTTTTATTTTCAACAGAATATGTAAAAATGTTCTGTTTTGAACTTTTGTACAAAAGAGTTTAGTTGTAATTTTTTAAAATCATTTTGGCGAAATTGTTTCAGATTCCTACTTTACATGTCTAAATCTTAACTCTGGCTTTTTATATTTTTTTTTTTAACCAGAAATGTGCTCATCAATCCATACTCAAATGCCACTGGGTTTTTTTAGAGGTGCATTTTTATTCAGCTGTAGAAATTATTATCCTAAATTCAATTTGGCTAGTGAGAAATGTGGTGGTGTGAAATGTCCTGAGCAAAGCTTGGTGAGCAGTAGCTCTGAAAGTCATGAAAGAAGATGCTCAGCTGAGTTACAGTAATCTGCAAGGCAACAATGTGCAATGACTATGCTGGGACATTAAAAAAACCCAGGACATCTTGGTTCTGCCAACTTACTGTTAGTATTTGTAATGTGGAGATGCCCAGAAGTGTTACAAATACAAAATAACAACAACAGCAAATTATAGTAGGAAAATAAGTTACTATGAAAAATCTCTTCACATGTGGATTCTTTGCTTAAGAAGTTCTCAGATTTTCAGAGTGTGGACAGGGCTTCTCTGAGGAGGAAACCCTCAGTCTGACCCTTTTGAGACTGGAGGGCTTGGGGGAAATGGTGCTTTTTTTAGTCTGGTGGGTAGGAAGCCAGGCAGAATGAAAGGTTGCTACAGGTATTGCTGAATGGAGGGACAGTAAGGACTTGAAACGGAAACACTCTTTTTGTGTCTGAAATTAAGGTAGATGGCAGAGGGAAGAAGAGTAAAGCAACAGAAACAGAATGTAAAATACAAGGACTAGTCCTGTGTTATGACAACAGAAGAAAAAACACCGTCTTGACTATTTAACTGTCTACCTATAGGATAGCTGCAGTACCTTTAAGCCCCTTTAAGCAGTAGTTCTGCATCAGCCCATTGAACTCAACGATCAGCATAGAATTGTACGATTTTCTGACTGTTTTCATACATTGCACCTTTTGCCATTCATGTCAATGTATTTTGCTTCTATACTTTACCTCTACTATGAACCATCCTTCCTCGGCCACAAGGGTTAGTGGAGACACAAATTTTCCTTTTTTGTAGAAAAACCTGTTTGGAATATCCTGTATGTTATAAACATCCATGTGTTCCACGGCTTTCAATTTTTGATATATCTGCAAAGAAAACAAATGTTAGGACACTATATGTCTGTAAAGAACATATATGCACCAAGGGGTACACTGAAACACCTGAATTTGCAAAATGGCTAATCCCCTTTAATGGCTAACCATTAGCACATTCAAACCAGGACTCTGCCCGTCCAAAAATGATGGCTGGACAAAACCTGCTTATGTGGTTTAGGAGATTCTGAAAACTTGGATCAGAAACACATAGGAATGCATGAATTCATGTATTATATATATTTATGATACACACACAAATGTATGCATGTAAGTACACCAGTCTACAGAAATAGACCAAGAGGAACCACACCGTCACACGAGACAGTGGTAAAAGTAAAGTGGTTAAAGATGCTCAAAGGCACCATGTGGATTGTGTACAGATGTGGAAAAGGAATATTTTCTTTATCCTCTGCCATTCATTCTCTCTTTGTGCGCTTGAGTGAAGAATTAATATCACCTCATCTGTGCTTCTTGCACTTAACCAGTCAATTCCTAACAAAGGGATTGATAGTGTTTAGTTATCTGCTTCATAAGGATGCCATGAGATTAATTAGCCAATGCCTGCAGCTTGAATCTGCACAATGACATACAAGTGGTTTATTAATATTAATCATACTGTCTTGAATATAATCACACAAGTGTGGTTAAACCCCAAATTGTTCAGAAAAAGTATTTTAAATGCCTGAAGGAGATGTTCATATTCCATAAAAAAGGCCATTACTGGAGTCCTCAGACTCTATATTGTTCTTTTGCTTAAATATAAATAATTTTCAGGAATAATTAGTTCGATTCTGCAAAGAATGAAAGGTTCTTCACTAGCCTTTTAGCTAAGACACTCTTGTGTGCCTATGTGTGCCAGAGATGTGCATCGATATGCAGTGACCATAAGGACAGCACCAGGGTGTGATGGCGAAATCCAGCCAGACCCTCCCATGAGCAGGACTAGGGTGGTCCTGGTGTTTTACCAGTACTTCTTCAAAATGGGATAATTCTTAAAGGTGATAAGCACCATGTTATGATACACTCTTAATTCCTAAACATAGCTCTTTGAAGCTCTATTGGGAAACTGAAAACCAACTTCATTTCACTTAAAAAGCAGTAGTCCAGTAAGAAGTGCTAGAAAGAAAGGAAGGAAGGAAGGAAGGAAGGAAGAAAACAAAACCATAGTGTAGAGGCACTGCACTTTATTCTCCTTAGAGGTATTTGGCTGTTTAATAAGAGAGAAGCATGTGCTTAAAAGCTTTGTCAGATGAAACCCCATGTCTGTGTGAAGTTGCAACTTGCCCTTGTTTGAAGGTCTGGCCTACAAAAATCAGGAGCTCTGGGTTAAGACCAAGGAGAGCACATATCAATGCTGTGAACCTCTGAGATTCACTTTGAGTGAATTGCTTATGCATGCCTCTAAGACAACTTTCAGTCCTGGCACCAATTTGTGAACCAATGTTCACAATACCACAGCTACACAGTTCCTAGAGAGACTGGGTGCAAATATTCTCTTTTTAAAAATTTTGCAAGCTACGATATACTGGAACTGGCTAAAATATAATATAGAAATATAATATAGAAAACAAGATTATTCAAATGGGCACGGCCTGCCCATTTTGTACATTCATACATATATATATTCTGAGGACAGCAGTGATGACTTCTCATGCATTGGTTTCTGGTTAGACTATAATGTACTAGTCTGTTAGTTACAGATACTGCATTTTCATTCTTTTCAAATAATTTCCAATTTTTTTCACTATTGTTTTAATTTATCCCTCAAAATCATGCAGTTCTAACCTTGGACTTTTATGGTTAATTCAATCCAACATGCTTCACCAAAAATTCTTCAAAGGAAAATATTGTAAAAAAATTATTTTTTGCAATTCTTGTCTAATGGAGTTAATTCCTAAAACTCTATGGGAGTTTACTGGAGTATGAATGCCAGATCATTTGAAAATCACAGCTAGGGTGTCAATGAATTGACTGACATATATATAAAATCCTAAAAATGAATTTTGAGCTAAAATCTTTTAGCTGTTTATCAAAAGCACATAGGGGTGGGGTTTGAAAGCACATGTCCTTGCCATACAATGATGAAAGTTCATGCTTTCTAATTTGCCTGGTGTGACTTTCCTTCAGAAACCAGCGGCACAAGAGTGTCACAGGCTCCAAGTCTGACTCCTGATAAGAGCCTCAGGTTGATTTTTACACACATCCCTGAGAGCCAAATTTGGATGTTATGAGAAGACAGAAGTCACAATTGGCAAAAAAACTGAGGAAACACAAAGACTAGTACGACCAAGCTGTACTTACCTCTGCATGCTTCTCTGGAGCTGGCCAGAGGCTCACAACAGGACCTCGGTCCTTCATTTGTATAGTATCGCTCATGTTGATATATTTGTTCAGCTCAATCACTTTGTCTGCCCAGGAGATGTCTGTCATCCCATGGTCGGAGAAGAGGAGGACATTGACTTCATTCTGAAGGCCTTTGCTCTGTAAAGCAAGTGCACAACAGCAGTTATGGCTGGTAAGAGCTTTGCACTGTCTGTGCCCACTGGAAAATTTAAATCCCCATCTGGCCTCCCCCGATTTAGTGGAAGTTCACCAGAAGGAGCACATCTGCAAGTGCCCTGCAATGTGCTTTGCCACCACCTGTAATGATGGACACCCACTCTCACTTGCTGCTCTGGAAGAGTCTGAGAGGTTAGCATCAAAGAGAGTTTTTCCAAAATAAATCCACCCCCCTGCTAAATAACCAGATGCTACATCCCAGAACAACAAAGCAGTTGTCCCAGTTGGTCTTAGACAGGATTTTACTGAGCTATTCTTAATCTATTGGCCAAAACAGATGGGGAAGAGTAACTTTGCCATGATACTACCTATGGCAGGGGTGTTTCTCTCTTCCCCTTGAAAATATAAGCACTTAGCATTAGAACTTCTATAATTTAGTGAAATATTCCTTTCCTCACTGAAACACATAAAAAACTCCAACATGCACTTATCATTGTCAAAGATTCACAGAATTGCCATTTACCCCAAAGCTTGGCATCCTCCTTTTCTTGCTGCAAATTAATTTAGATGATGTTTTTTTAAAATCGAGTTTAAAGTAAGGAGTTCTGAATAGTGCCATAAAAACTGCTATATAAGTTAATTGTCTGATTCCACAAACCCTAGGAAGCACACGGTTTTGATTCGTTTGCCTACAATAAAGTTTAGCCAGCAACACCAGTTATAAACTGTATATTGGTTTGTGGCTTCCTGGGGCTATTGGTGTAAATCCGCCAAGCAGGTTATAATGCCATTAATGAAAATAATAATCCAGGGAATGGTGCCTTGACTTCCACACGATCTCAGTAACCTGTTTCTCAGGAAATAAAAGTTTACAGCCAATGCATTCAATGACAGGTATTAAATAGGCTCTTGGCAGTGCCACAATTAGCAGTTTTAGAAACCTTTCCAAAGGCACCCAGGAGCTGGGGTCTTGGATGGCACTCACCTTGATGAGTGAGATCATGTTGCTCAAGGCTTTGTCCACTTCCTTCAAAGCGTTCTTCCGCTGCTGGGACAAAGGGCCGTAGTGGTGGCCTTCCACATCAATGCGCTCGTAGTACACCGCGGCCATCTCAGCGCTGCCGTTGCTGGAGGTGGGAGGGAGGGGAAGGAGTGAGAGGCTGGCACACATGGAGACCTCCTGGCTGCCGGCGTTATTGTCTTCACCAGCACGTAGAACCACAGAACCCCGTTTTCTGCTTCCAGCCTGTGCTGTCCCACCTACTGTCGCACAGCTGGGCTCATTATTCACACCCAGAGTCTCCTGAGCTTGCCTTAGACTCCTCTCAGAGGTGGCAGTAGAGACTGCCATGTGCAAGCACAGGCTGGCCTGGCAGCCCTCTACTAACCTCTTTGAATTAAGAAGGCAGCTTTCCCTTTAATGACAAAGAAACACTGATTTCTGTGCTCAGTGCCCTTATTAAAAGGATTGTGGGAATTACCAGACAAACATACTTTAATTAAAGTTTGGCACTTCTGGCTCTCTCCTGCGTGAGGTCTTCCAAACCACTGAGGTCAACTCAGGATGTGCTCTTTCTTGCAAAATACTGAGCAGTAGGAATTGGGATTAAATTTTGGATGGGGGTTTTATTCAGGAATATGACCAAAGGGAAACAGAGGTAATCTCTAAGGTAATCTCAGCATTGCACAAGTTTAGCTGATCACAGATTTCTGCACTGAATGCCCTCAGCCTAATTAGTGGGGATGACACATATATCAGTGCTTAATTACATTTTCATGACCACTTTACAGTTCAGTGTAAACCTCTCTGAGAACAGTTGTGTGGATAAAATCACAAACTTATGCTCACGAAGTTCAAACCCAGTCTTTTTCTGCTGTACTTAATATATGACAGAGTGTGCCATCCATAATACGTGCTCTCATCGAGACCAAGATCCCTGCAAAAAGACTTTGTGTCATGTCCTGGCAGGTCCAGCTTCTCTGATTAAAGACACTTGGGTAGTCTGGTGTAATGAGCGAGAGAGAAGAGGAAAAATCAGAGGTGAGGAACTGACTGACTGACAGACTGAATTAGGGTCTGTAATTTGCATTTTTCAGTTTGAGGAAGGCCTCAGAGGAGCAGTCCCATAAGAAGCTGAAGGTCTCTACTGTGCACTGCTGGCCCTGCAGAATAGTATTGTTTCTCATTCTTAAAGATTTTAAAATAATTCAAATGAAGCAGCCCTCTCCCCAGTCTGATTTTAAGCATTACTTTCCATCTGTATTGGGCATAAATAATTTCTAAAATTAACCCTCTAATTTCTCTTTTGCATACACACACATTGAACCTACTGAAATAGTTTTCTTCTGCTGCAGTGCCTATATTAATGAGCTACTTAGACTACTTTATGTCTTCTCATCTGTAGTGATCATTTTGATCAAGATAGAAGCCAAGAAGGAGATTTATTGCATAAAACAAGTGCTCTCATTTAGGCTATGGTGAGATTTCTCAGTGAGGGCTCAGTGCTGTAAGGAAGAATACTCAATTACTTCAATGGGACAAGCTCAAATTAAGCAGCATGCTTAGGAGTTTGCAGGACTTGGTACAGCACATCCAGAGCTTCTAAGATCTAATTTTACTTTGTTTCCATTTTTGCCTGTTCTTCTAAGAAAACTAGGCATCTCTGATCATGGCTTGCATGGGAGAAATAATCTAACTATGTGCTCATCCTGTCTTCTTCCATCACCAGTAAGTTTCCAAGTAAATGACTAAGGAAAGCTTGCTGAAGAAAGTTGGATGGCACTGATGGCAATACCAAAAAGAGGTTTGTATTTTACCAGTACATTTTGCAAGTATTGTGCAAACTTCATGACACCTGTCCAGGAAGGTAGGTAGATCACAACAGCCCTTAAGTTATAACTGTGGAAAAGACACAAGGAAGGTTTTAGTTTCACTTGCCAAAAACAGATGCTTGACTTAGTTTTGAATATTTTTTGTCTAAATAGTGGTCTTAAAGCACCTGTTTGAAGAGACTGGAGAATATTCCTGAAGGATAGTTTGCTTTGGTTGCAAGAAGAGCTCAGTGGCTCCCTGATGAGTTAGGTATTTCTGTCCCTGCAGAGGGGATTGCTAAAACTTTCAACTTCAGTGAAGTTAAGATGGGTCAGAATTCCTGTGCTCAAACCCAAGATAACCCCTAGTTTGCTATGCCATATTAAAGGGCTTACTCTCTCTACCCTGGAGTCTCTGTAAGGTTTGCTAATGGTGGGAGCCAAAGTACAGTTCATTAACTACTAATACCTGCCATTGGGGCAACTGAGCAAGGCACTGCTACAGGCAACAGACTGCCCTTGCCACAGGCTGTTTTCCCACATACAGCTAATGCCAGTCTCAGCCTAATGGGCTTTTCCAATTAGTTGGTGTGTGGAAAGGAAACACTGGATATGCCAGCCTTTGAACAGCTTCAAGGGTAAAAAGCACTTGCAAAAGATGTAAATGACAAGCTCAAGACTCTACTACCAGACATGCTAATATCTGCTAACTGAGTATACCTACAGTAAAGGCATTTCAGAGGCTTTACTTCTTATGGGGTGGCCCAACAGCACAGAATTTTTTTTCCTAAATCTTAAAGGAATAAACAAAGAGGATGAATGAGAGAAAGAATAAGGAAACCTACCTCATTTTTGACCTGTTTGTTCTCTACTCTCCCTTCTTATTTTAAGTCCCTGCAGTATTTAAACCCAGAGCTCATTATCAATTTTATCTATAATCATCCTTTTTTGCTCTTTCCTGCCTTGCTGGAGACAAGGTACATAGTTTAAAGAAAAGGAACTTGGGCAGAAATTCAAGAGAGGGTGTGTAAAGGGATACCAGAGACAGGACCTCATGCAGCTCTGGGATGATCTGTAGGTTTTGGGCACTTCAGCAGGCTTTAGCTGGTATTTCTGGCAGGCATCATGGCAGGGATTTGCTCTTTTCTTGAAGAGTTTTCATCTCTTGCGAGTTGTTCCACCGACACTGCTGTGTTCCTGCCCTTTTCTTCTTTTCCACCGAAGATAGCAGTGGGCAGCCTTGTAGCTTAGGGTGAATTAGCTATTGAGACATTTTCAATGGGATCCAGCTACCCAAAAGAACACCTTAAAGCGCTGGACCTTTTAACAGTTTGTGCCTGAGCAGCCTTATGCACTGTGCTACACAGAAACCAGGCGGGGAGTCAAGTGTAACTTGACCCATCCCCAAATGATACCAGACCAAAAAGCTTTCTACAGTAATTCTGGGTAAGTCAGAGTGGATGTCTGTATTCGATTTTCCATTCCTTTTTTTATTCACTAAATTAAAAGCATTGCAGAAGCTCCAGAAAGCCTCCTATATCATATATGACCTCCTCACATCACATGCAGATAACTTTCTGTAAATCTAAGCCAAATAATTTCATGATAAAACATCTCATGTGGTCTCAGGCAGTTTCTGTCTAAGCCCCATGATGCAAACAACACCGTGATTTCTGAGCAGCAGGATTCAGTGTGCAACTGGGAGCAACATCTCCAGCAGCACTGTCATAATTTTGGAGACTTTATTTCAAAAACAATCAACACTCAGCATGTGAATACAAAACTTTTCAGATTCAAATAGCTATGGCAGTTTACAAGTAGTAAAATAGAAATGTTTCCTGGGATTGGATAAATTATGGAACCAACAAGGTTTTCAAAGAGGAAGCCTAGTTATAGCTAAGGTAAGGCATTGGCTCTGCATGTGGTGGTGCAATCTTCCCTGATTTTACAGCCTATGTGGAATTGTCCCTTGTTAATGTTTGAATGAGAGATAGTGAAACTTGAAAGCTGCGTGTGGAGCATACATTTTTCCTAGGAGTTATCTGAGATACATATGCCCATCAGCTGGGCTAGATGGTTGTTGTAGGCCCTGTCCAACTGAACTATTCTATTTTACTCTGTTATATCCTCATATTGCACAAAATGAATGTCCACTCCAAAAATATTGTACCTGCAATGTTCTAAAATGCAGAAGAAGCCAAAGCATCAGTCTTGTAAACAAGTGACTGAAGCCAAATTTCAGAATTTCCAAATTCCCTCTCTAAATCCAAGCACTGCAGTCTGCTCTTGCAGCGAAGAGACTCATCCTGAAGCTGCTTGAAACAATAAACTAAAAGCAGTAAGTCAGGATGTCTCCTCTTTGTTGCAACCTACACAGGAAAAGAGCACATCTTTCCCTCCAATCTTAATGTAAGGGCCTATTTCTGTGGTGATGGTGGTATTTCTGTGACAGTACTGTAAAGCAGCCTCAGCACCATCTTCCTACCTGGGAGCCAGTCCTGAAAATATCTCTGATAGTAAGCCCAAATACTTGTCCTTGAGAGAGGAAACCCCACACTGCAAAAACCTAGTGACATACCACAAGGTCTCGAGGGCATCACTGATGGCATCCGCAAAGTTTTTGTCTGTTGGGACACTGAAGTACTCGCGGCAGTAACTTGGTCTGACTCCAAGGATTTCGACCTCACAACCTATGAGCAAAACATGTGGTAAGCTCTGCTGTTTCACCTTGATCACCACACCATTCGGTCCGAGTTCAGGTTTGTAAATTCCCTCCAAGATTACTTACCTTACACCTTCCCTGCAGGAAACCGTGTGGTTGGGAAGGGAAAAGGGGAGAGGGGCTGGTTTGATGAGTGCTCGTAGCAAACTGTACATTGGATCCTTTAATTTCCCTCTGTAAAAGGAAGGTCTCTGTGTGACCTTCCCACAATAAAACTCTTGATTCCCTTGTGGCAGACTGTTTCCATTTAAATTGCTAGCTTGTTTTCATTTTAACTACTGTGGCCACATAGCCTCATTTCCAGGTTTCCAACATAATAGATTTAGATATTGTTCCCTGAAAATTCAGCAAATGCTTTCCAGTTAGACACGCCGTATCTTATGTTGTAATATCCTTTATAAACCATATTTTATTATGTGATACTGGCACTCCACTATTAAATCTGTTTCCCAGGAGGTCTTATTAAAACAGCATAAACCAATTAACTCTCTTGGTAACTTGCAGCCTTCCTTGCAAAATACAGTCTGTTTCGTGGCCTAAAAATTTACAGCAACAAATCCTACAGGAGAACATGGCCCTGAACATAGAAAAACATGTTTTTTGTGAGGTTTCTTTGCCCTTTTGCTCTCCAGTTACTATGCTGGAGAATAACATTAATATTTAAAAGAAGTGTGCTTTCAGAAACACTGGATTCAGGTAAATTATTATTCCAGAGCCCCCGAGTCCTCCCATCACTATTAGGCATTTTCTGGTGTATTCCTTGGGCACAAGGAAGAAAATAAAAAAGAGATCTTTTGCAATATTGCCTCTGTATACAGCAACACAGTCAGGTCAAAAAGGCGACTCTAAGCCAAAGCCTGAATCTGTCTACATCTGGGTTCCTCTGCTTCTCTTTGGGATGAAAGGAATAGGCATTAAGGACTGTCATAAGTTGACTCATTGCTTGGGGTGGGAGAAGGTTGCACAGGAGGTTTAAGTACAGAAAGGGCACTACACTAAGCAGAACTACTACAATAGATGATTTACAGTGGTTTGCTTACTGGGATACTCGATAAAAAGAATTTTTCAGTGTCTTGCATCTCAGCCCACATGAGTTTACATTGCCGAGGTCCAGTGCTGGGGCACAGGGAAAAGGCACACCACTTGCAGGCTAAGCTGGCTAAGAGACTTCTGATTGTGACTATTTAGGAGTACCATGAAAGATTAGAAAAACGTAAATATTTAAGCTTAGGAAGTTTTTTTAAAAATCTTCACTGATTTGCAGAAAGCCAGACAAATTAGATGGAAATTACCCTTTCCAAAAGTTAGAGCCCTAGCACACATGGGAGATTTAGTCTCTTCACCTGTGGCAACAACTCCTATGTCTCCACATAGTTTGCGTGTTTTAAGGGACTCCATCTATTATGATTAATTATTTGCAATAATAAACATAAAATGTAGTAAAATAATTTATTTTCCTGTTAAAACACATCTGCATAATCTGAAACCTCTATCTAAATTTTATTTCTATTAAAATTGTGGGTCTGTGTGATGATGCTCGCTTTTAATTCTTCCCCTGTTGCCCCAAACATATGTGATTTAATCCTCCCCTTTCTGCACGAAGATACTTTACTGTTTATCTCTCCACCACAATCCACCATGAAAGCAATCTGCAACCTGGTTGAAGAGCCTGCAGATTACTTGACAAGAACTGGCTCTCTAGACCATCCCGCAGTAAAACTTCTATACATCTGCACACAGCACCCTCAAGAAATTATGTTGTGCAACAGAGACAGGTCCCAGCTGCTACCTAACCAAATCATAAAAAAATGTATTCCATAAATTTCCTGAAGTCATATCCAGGGAGCCCCCTGCCCTGAGGGCATGCAGCTTCAGTCTTTTGCAGGATGTCTTGGGTGCTACCAGCAGCAAAAGATGGGCTTACAGCCAACTCAGATGCTAAAAGTGATGCAGTAGTCCTCTGTGGGCTTTACTAGTATTTCAGGACTGAACTAGAACTTTGGAGCCAATTTCTTGTCTGACACTTGAGTCTGGGAAAAGACTGGCTCTAAAGCCAGGCAAGAAGTTAAGGATGCACTTGGAAAGATGTTGGGAACACCTAGTATTTTTGTTCAGGTGTAGGACGGCTCATACGACTAATACCACCACTTTGCCTCTTTTGTCTTCTTCAGACACTGACATCAGATTGTAATTTTCTCACATAACATCCCTCAGAACTATTCACAGGATAACTGGAAGCATTAACCTCTTGGGGATCTGGGATATTTTAGCTGTTGAGATATCTTTGCTATTTCTAGATTGTCAGGTGATGAGCATGACATAAAAGACTATAGACGTAGCAACAATTAGAAATCATTTTGGCCACTAAATATTGGTCTTCAAGTATGCAGTTCGTTGGCAGTACCACTGAAAATTCAGGCTGCTTAGATATCAAGAGCTTCCTTTTTCTTTTTAGCCTCTATGATAAACAAAACTTAAATTTGGATTTTTGATGTTAAGGCTTGTTACAATTCCAAAATACTGGCCACGAAGACCTTTTAATATTTAGATTTCATTTTGGTAGAGGCCAGGACAGATGGTAAATTTTCTCATTTAAATATTATGGGAAAGGAAATTTAAACAGATTTGGAGACAGACAAAGGGAATGTTTTTTCTTGTTTAAACTACAAATAGTTAAGCTATATTTATGAAGATGTTAGATACCTTTTTTCACAGTTTTGTGTGACACTAAACCTTTATTTAAAAACCTGAACTACTGGAGCAGGAATAAGGACTTCTTTCAGAGTGATATATAGGCTCCTCTTTATCTATCTGACATGGAGACCTGAGCCTCTGCCAGCTTTAAATTGCATTTCTAAACATTTATTTAAGAGTTGGACACTTCATGTCATAACAAGTTTTGAAAACTTTCCAGATGAACTGTACGATCTGGTAAATGTTGTGTTTAAATGGCAAAAGTTGAGTTCAGAGCCTTTTTTTCCCTCTTTCATTTCAGTGTTTAGAGAAGATGTCACTGCACTTCAGCTGAAGCAGCTGCGTACGCAGTTAGCACAGGCTGCTGGAAATTAAAGGAGTTTGAGCACCTATGGTGACACAATCCAGTGGGTTGAGGATCACTCCAAAGCTTTGACTTTGCCAAGACTGCTGGGATGCTCTTGCACTCCTCTGGGCATTCTCCATCCACTGGAGCAGCAGTGCTTCAGACAGGCAACCTGGGCATGAGCCTGAGAATTTCACCTCATGTAGATTGTGAAGAGAGGAAAAAATTGTCCTTACAAGCCCAGGTCTTACATTTTGTCAGAATTGGTGGTTGGGACCCCTGGCATGGTGATATTTTGGCTCCCCTGCTTCCAGCATCAGGAGATCTCAGATGAGTTCTGCCCATGAGTTGTCTTTGCTGGGTTTACATTGGGCTCACAGATAAAGCTGTCATGGATGGTCATTTGCATCCGATAGCCCTCCTGCTCTGTGTTCCTGTTTGCTGGGGTCTGGATTTTACTTCTTTAAGCACTGACTACACATGAGAGAGGAATGTAGGGAAGAATATGAAGCAGCAGATTTTGCATTCAGACTTTGCAAAGCTTGGAACTGGCCCTGAGGAGGAAATGGCAGTGGCATAAGTTAATCCTGGGAATCAGCTCTCTGGCATTTCTGCTGTGGTTGATTGATTTCATTTGTCTTCAATGCTGGCTAAAGAGAAAATAGCATCTTCCAGAACAAATTGTGTTGAATTTGGCTCTATACTGCTGTTCTTATGAAGAGTTTCTGAAACTTTTCCTGTTTGGTTCTTTATCATACTTGTAAGATTCATTACTAAGCAGAAGTATATCCTCAGGCTGGAAAGCTAATCACTAACAGCAGATTATATGTAGTGCAAATGTCTGTGGGACCTCTACTCGCCTTGGTTATTAAATCTTTTTTTTTATTATTTTCATTTTGTTTAGTATTGCTTCCAAGTCAAATGTCTTGTTAAGAATTAAAGTTTTAAAATGATAGATCTAGAATTTTTATGAAGGATTTCGTCCTTACTATGGAACTAGAAAACAGTTTAAAAAGTCGTATAGGGAAAATGTAATAAATACTACTGCATTTGGAGTGACTTCTGTTTACCCCAGATACACCTGGAGTCCTACTGCAGCCCAACAACCCTGTGTTTTAGTTCAATAGCTCTACATTTCACCCCACTTCCTGCCCTGTGCCTGACCTTGTATGGCATATGTGTCCTTTGAGACCACGAATATCCTTAAAATAAGCATGTGCTTAAGCATTTGCTGAACTGAGGCACTGATGGCTTTGCCAAAGGTCACTCATCACAGATAAATAAGTAAGGAGAGACAGATGTACATGTCACAGTCCACAGCTAAAATACTAGATCCACAAAAAATTCCCCCTCAGTGTCATAAGAGTCAATGCATACACTTGGCAGCATAAGCACTGGGAAAAGGGAGGCTCTATTGTTGCAATTTTCAACTGGAAATAGCAGGCAGAGAAGAGTGAAGGGTATACATATGTATGCAAGGATACATACATATACACTTCATATGTCTTCTCCCTGGGAAACACTGCTCAAAGGGCAACATGTAGGAGCTAGGTAAAGTCCAAAAGCATTTAATGGAAAGTGATACTGTTGGGTTTTTTATTTCAGCATCTCTCTGTAGGCTGTTACATCTATTCAGTACATAATTATACCTATTGAGAGCAATTATATTACTGGGTAAAAATGAATAGTCTATAGAAAGAGGTCTTTTGTAAATTTTTAGAAGAATTCCTGCATTCTTGCATAACTACTATTTGCATTGCTGTTAGGTCACTTGGGTGATCTTCAGTAAGAAGCAGCATTTTTTTCAGGGCTGATCCCAACCATTATATGTCAGTCACCCTGACTGCCTCCGAGTCCATAAGGCAATATTGTCACCCTCAGGTCTTTTTGATCTTCACTACTATAGAAACGCTCTAGATGGCTTTTCAATGTTTTCCATCTTGGTTTGATCTTTCTTCCCATTCCTTAGAACTGTGGACTTTTTTTATCTGGGACACCATTAGCCACATTGCATGGACAGACTTTGGCCAGGCACATGTGCACCGGGATGCAGAGATGAGCAGTCCAGGAGCCCACAGTGTGGGTCAGCTGCCACTGCCTTACTGACACTGGCTGTATCCAGGACAGCTCTTCTAACAGCTCTGTGGTCCTCTAGCCTGCACTTGCACATATGAGGATATCTGTATACTGATTAGTATAAGTAGCAGAGTTAAAAGGTTAAAAAGTTGAGAATCTCAGTACTTTGCAAGGCATTTGGTCTGGTTGCAGAGGTGGAACATTTATTTCCATGTGAGTCCCTAAATGGATAGTCTAAGAAGATATCTCTTTTTGTTAAAAAGGACTCATTTTTATACATCTCTAGTCATTTCAATTGCCCAATATCTAACAAATGAGGAACAGGAAGGCCAAGTCCATCCAAAAGAATGGCACAGACTCAGAACAACTGGGACCTCAACTCAATCAACAATGAAGGAGGACAAGAGGACAAGGACGCTTTGCTTTCAGCTGGATTTTGTTGTCCCCACAGAGCAGATCATCTTCAGCTCTCAGATACTAATTTCCAGATTAAAACCAAACAAGCATTGTGGGAGACTGGTTACCGTTTAACTTTAATTGGACCATGAACCATTCATGGAGCAACCATTCAGCACAGCAGAAGCTACAGGTAGGCAAGAGGAATGAGCAGTTGGTGGAGGAGGGGATGCTCTGCAAGCCAGTGCCCTCCTGAAGGTAACGTTTGGTGGAAAGCTGCCTCCAGTGACACTTCAGTCTTTTCCTTTGTAAGCATATACAAATTATCATTTATATATATATATATATAAATGATATATATATATTATATATAATATATAATTCATTTATATATATATATTATATATATATTATATATAATTCATTTATATGAGTGGTTAGCAGAGCACTAAACATTCTTGTCTGTATTCCAGGACTGTGTTAGAGAGCCATTCCTACAGAATATGGAGTGCTCAGATGTAAAGATGCACTGTTAAGATGGCAGCAATTTTTCATATACTTACCTGGCCAATAGTACATGGAAACATTCTTTTTCGCTTTCGTCATTGTGACCCACAAAGGCTCAGATCCATTCCACCAGAGAGGCATCAGGCTTTCTTTATTCACACCAATATCAAAAGATACATTTGCCTTCTGGTCCCACATGTAGTTTCCAGTCATCTGATGGACCTCACAGTGGCGACCTTTTGGGGTGGACAAAAAAACCAGCACAATCAGATTGGTGTTCTCCAGCAGAAGGATGCCACCAGCACCACCGCTGCTACTACTGGATCATCCAGCAAATCAGCTGAAAAGATCTGACTTGAACTCAGGGATCTCTTACCTTGCAACTACTCATACAATCTCCTTGACTGCTACCTTTTATTGAGGTGCTCTAGTTAGCTTGCTATATCCCACAGTTCAGCCACCTAAAAATTAGCTGCTGAAACTTGTCAGCCCCCTGTGTTGCCTTCACAGTCAGTGGATAAGAAGAGGCATGTCTAGAAAGCAAATCATGCCACCCCAAGACAGGCATCTCGGATATCTGGAGGTGCATATTGCTCTTTGTTAACGGTAGTGAAAGATCACAGCATTTTCTTAGTTTCAGGCAGCCAAATTTTAGACAGCTGAGGCCAGAAGAAACAAACCCCGCACCCATGGCCTGCTCACCATCCTGCACCCAGCCCAAACACACAAACCATGTCAGCAGCAACACGCGCGGGGGCCACCTGGCTCCTCTGATACACCAGCACCTACCAAGTCTGAGGCCATTTTAAGGTACCCAACAGCACTCAGAATCAGAGGGCTGTGGGAAGCAGGCTATGACCAGGACAGGATAAGAATCTAAAAACATTGAATGAAGTTTGGGAAACTCGCATTTCTCCTTCCTTTTTCCATAAGTCACATTGTTTTTCTGCAAACAAGCAAAAACTAGGCAAAAACTTTTTTACGTTACATTTATTTTTCCATTATCGTTATTTTTTTATTTTTTTTTAATGATCATGCTTTGTTCTTGGTTGTGGGCACAGCAATCATTTCATCAGGCATGTTCAGCCCTCTTACTGTATCTTAGGGGCCCTTGAGCAACTTTGGATTACAAGAAACTAGTATATAATAACTGAGAGATGCCTTCTACTTCCTGTCATTGTCAGAAGAGACTATATTTTAAGAATTATTCTACAGATGAATTAACAGAAATGAGAAAAGAAACGTTGAAGACTGAGTTGTACTGGAAGTTTCTGATTTCCATATCTTAAAAAGCAACAACTGAAGCATGTGTTAGACACTGTCATCATTAGCTGGTGAATCATGTTATTGCAGGGATCCAGATAACAGGCTTTGATTATTGTGAGCCTGAGCATGGTGATCAGAACTGAAATAACCTTGGTATGCTTGTTTTGAAAAGGCGTCATTTCAAGCAGAGGACTCTGTATACTTTGGGTACATGTGACCTTGAAATGAATTTTGAACTCTCCTTCTCTACTACAAAGTATTTCAATTATGCAAAACATTTCCTCGTTCCCAGAGGAGAAAAGCAGTCCCAGTTTGTGGCAGTCACTATTTATGATATTAAACCAAACAGGTTTAATACAGGAGAACTGGTGGATTGGATGGGCAGTAATCTGTCCTCTTCAGGCTGCCAAGTGCTCTCCTTGCTGTCTCAAAAGAGATGGAGGGAAGTCTCTATAGTGCATCAAAAACGCAGCCTTAAACTTAGAGGGCAACCTCAGCTTCTTAAAGTTGATGTATTCCTAAGCATCTATCAATCTAATAAATTGCAGGCAGGCAACTTGTGCCAGCCTGGGAAACTTGTATTTCAGTACTGAAGCTGTATCTGTATGAGACCTACAGATAGGTATCTATATGATTACAATGTAGTCTTCATATAGAGTCAACGAGCTCTAGCTGCCAGTGATCCTGTAGGACTTAGGGTCTCCTATCTCTTTTTCCCCTGTCTTTAAGGAAGAAATTGGAGATTTTTTTTTTGTAGTATTGTTGGGAAGTTTAATTAACAGTTTGCAGTAATACAGAGGACAGTGTTCTGATCTCCACATTAGATGACTTCGACTTTCTATGGACTACAAGTCTTTCTTTTTAATATTGAAAAAGAGGTAGAGAAGACTATAAGGCATCAATTTTCATTGCAGATATCCCTGGTTCACAGGGCCAGAAAAGAAAATCAGATGAGCAGACAGATCAAAGGAGGTGACCATTTAATGCCATTCACATCTGCTTACCTGAGGCCTGTGTCCCAGAAAGACCCCAGAACTCTTTGGTCAATAATCATCAATAATCAACTAATCAATCTCTTCCTTGAGTTGCACATCCCGATATGTATCATCAGCAAACGCTGTTCAAAAAGTATGCCTGGTCTCTAATTTTATTTTTGACCTTTGTTAATCTTCAACCATGGCTATTCTGAGCCTTGCTCACTAGATTAAAAAGCCCTCCAATAACAAGAATTAATTAATTAATTAATAATTGATTAATTCTTCTTAATTAAGAAGAATTAAGATCACTTCTCAAGTTTCTTTTGGGTCACCTGTAGAATCCCAGTTCTTTACATCCCCTGTTTTAACTTGTTTTCTCCAGCCTAAGAAAATTACCTTTGGTGAGCTTCTTTTGGATTATTATCAAAATAGCATCATGGTGTTTGAGAGTCACCATAAAATGCTGAATTTTTTATTTCTTCCATTACAGCAGCTTTCTTCTGTAATCAAACCTTATCTTAAGAGTTTCAAACAGAAGCAGGGCAAAAAGCAGTTTCAGCATACAGATGTCATTATTAAAACACACTGCAATTGTAGTAAAAATTACCCCTTCCACAAGCAACGTAGGAAAACAAAGAGGGTATAGTTCCCAGGAATATGATAACTGCTGTATCCTTCTGGAAGAGAGCCAGCAAAAGCATTTGCAAGTCTGCGTGCTACAGCTTACTTGAACACTACACTTCTTACAGCATTTGTCTAAAGCACATTCCCATGTCTCCAGGCACTTTTGTCAGCATTCAAATGAATCTCTGCAAAACAAAGATGAAATTAAAAAAACCAACAAAACACACAGCCATTTGGCCACCCAAAACAGCAGCACAGTAACTCTGAGTGCTGTGCACCCTACATTGGCTGTATGTGACATCTGGACACCGGAGCATGTGCTCCTGCAGCATTTGCTTTCTTTGGTGGTCTTTCACTGACTGCATGTCAAGATTACAAGTAGGCACGAAACATCATAAAGTGACCACCTGTGTGTAAATTACAAGAGAAAATGCACTTCTGAGACACTCAATCTTTTCTTTACAAGAGAGGCAGTGTGTGATAGATGTGCAATGCTATACTTAGGTGCATCAAGCAACAAAATAGAGGTAAATTATCTCTGCACTGAGGAAATGAGATTTATCAGAGAACTCATGGTGTGTGTATTAGCCAACACATCAAAGGTACTGCAATCTGATGATGACATCAGTACTAAATGTAGCTGAATGTGGCTAAATGTACTCTCTGATATTATATACATACCTTGCCACTATGGTGAGACCTTTTCTCTCATGTCCCATCATGATGTCCTCACTCTGTGGTCAGTGACAAAAGCCAGGAGGGCAGATGCAAGCATAGGCATGTATAGCATGAGGCTATACAGGCTGGGAAAGAATTAAGTTCCTCCATGCAAACGGTGGATGACTTGCCCTGGGAATTGCTCTGCTTCTATGGCTGCCTGCCATAAAGAGGAAGAGAGCAGGACTATAAAGTCACCAGCACCATATTCCTGTTCTGGAGCAGATACCATGGTGTTGCTGCCCCTATGGGCTGAGCTTTGATACATGCCCTACTCTGCTGTTCCCCTGATGGGTCTCATCTGCTCTGCTTTAAAAAGAAAAACCACAGGGAAAAAACAAAACCCACATGCGAAATCTTACGTGGCCTGGAGAAGACCAGGGCTCATGAGAAGTTCAAGGGGAGCGCTGGCCTGGGCCAAGTGGCCCTGCCATCTGCAGATCCCCGAGTGAAAACAGTACTTGCAAGATGCACACAGGCAATTCAAGTTCGCAAAAGAGCTTGCTGGCAAAGACTTTCCAATATTTTATGACCTCCAATACCAGACAGAGCCAAAGCATAAACACCTTAGCCTGCATCAGGCAAGACTTTGCAATCCAAGTAGGATCACATCAAAAGGCACAGAAAAATCTCTGCTATACACAGCATTAATTTTTTTCCCTGAAGGGGATTAATTTATTAAGAGTATGAAACTCTTAATTCAGTGCTTTCATCATGGGGCCAGGGCTGGGGTGCGCAAAAATTGCTTATAAAACATCCAGTTGAGGTTTTGCAGATTCCCTCTTGTACGAGAAGTCAGGTCTTTTGTACCTCAGGAGCAGGGGCTTCAAGCCGTCAGTTCCTCTCCTGAACCCTCCACTGACAGTGGTGGGCTGAGGGATCACTCTGGGACCTCTGACCACCCACAGCTGGGTACGACTCGAGGGCACCACAGCTCCAAGCCTACAGAAGGCCAGAACAAAACAGTGGGCAAAGCTGCTGCCTGCACCATTAGAGAGAGTATGAGCCTATGGCAGTTTTCTGTCAGTCAGCTGTGACTTCGCTCTGGGCAAAGAAATACCTTGATACGTGAATATCCACTCACTGCCACTAATAGCTGGTAGTAGGCACACTAGTTGTGAGCTGTGAGGCTGTAGCTAGTAAGAAGGAAAAAACTCCATATTTCAATTCCTAGCATGTGAACTTGTGTTAGAGAAAACTGTTCTGTTCTCCACTTTGGAAGTGTTTCCATTTTTCTAACTGGTAGAAAGCAAACATAGATTTTTACAATATTTTTTCTATAGGTGAAAGAGAAAAATCTTGGTGCTTGGCATTACAGCCTTTCTGCAGGTGTTGAGTAAACAAAGTGAGAGGAAGAATGTGAAAATTAAAATCCTCATGGTTCCCACTATCTTCTCCAGCCTGCCCTTGCCTGCCTTGTCCTACCCCTTCTGTGCCAGTTAATAGTATTACCACAGACTTCTTCATGCTCTTTTGCTTCCCAACACACAGTTTTTGAAACGGAAAGCTAGTGAATCCAAGAAAAAGAAGAGACTTGATTTCAAAACTGTATGTCATGAACAGAACCTTCTAAATCCTTGCTGCTGCTGGCATCTGTAATTGTTTAAAGAGGAACAAAAGGAAAAAAATCCTATTCCCTTGTCACTCATTAT